TCTGTAATTCCAGCTGCTTGGGAGGCCAAGGTAGGAGAATCGCTTCACCCAGGAGGTGGAGGTTGCAGTGAGTCGAGATCACACCACTGCACTCCAGCCTGGGTGACAAACTGAAATCCATCTCAAAAACAGAAACCAACAACAACAACAACAACAACAACAACAACAACAACAACAAAAACCCATCGAATTCAAGGGCCTACTATATAATGGTATTTACAAAACCAATATCAAATATAATAAATACAACATTCAACTAAGTATCAGAAGACAGTGATTTAACTCTGCTCTGCAACACTCAAAGTGTATTCCACGGAATAAATCCTAGTTTTTCTAGAAGGTGGGAACCTGAATGCCGTTTCTAAACATGTTTCTTCCCAAACTACCACAACATTGCTAAGTCCTGAAAATTCTAATTAAACATGTGGAATATGGAATTCATTCTCTTCTCACTAAATACAGCTATCCAGTGATTTTCAGTCTTCATCAACTTTAACCTTAATTATGGCAATAATTCAATATCCTATACAATCTGTTTTCCACACAGACGCTTGAGAAATATTTTACACATATTTGTCTGATTATATCCAATTACTTCTACCAGTGTGTGCGCACTCTTCTCCCTCTCTCTCTCTCTCTCTCTCTCTCTCTCTCTCTCTCTCCCTCTCTGTCTCTGTCTGTTACACTTAGAATCCTATAATGTCCTCTGTTTCTTTAGAGAAGAAAGTCCAAAAACATTGACATAGCCTACAAAGCCAGGAATAATCTAAATCTTCTCTCCCCGGAAATTATTTATCTCCTCCTTTTTGTTTTTCTTTTTGAGTTTTATTGTGTTTTAAGTAAACTTTTTATTTTGGACTAGTTTTAGATTTACAGAAAATGTGCCAGTGTAGTACACAGAAATTCCAGAAACCCCATATTCACTTCCTCCTATTGTTAACATATTACATCAGTATGGAAGGTTTGTCACAACTACTGAATCAATGTTGGCACACTTTATTAACCATACTTTATTCAGATTGTCTCAGTATCTCACTAATGTTATTTTCTGTTAGATGAACTGATGCAGGATGCCACATTACATATAGATGTTACGTTTCCTTAGGCAATGTTTGGCTGTCACAGTTTCTCAGATTTTCTTGTTTTTGATGATCTTAGCAGTTTTGAGGAATTTTGGGATATGGTGTAGAATGTCTCTCAATCAGAATTTTTCTGATGTTTTCCTCATGATTGGACTGGGATAATGTATTTTGTGGTGAAGACCACATAAACAAAACATAATTTTTCTTATATCAAGTGTATATCCAATCGGCATGACATCACTGTTGATATTAACCTTGGTCACATGTTTGATATAGTGTTTATCAAATTTCCTCATTTTAAATTACCCCTGCCCTTTCCATTAATTACTCTTGAAAGAAAGTTATTATTTGACATTGGTAATCTCCCACATTGGAAAACTGAGAGTTATCATTCTTCTCCTGGAGGGTAGAGTAGCCACATAAATTATTAGCATGTCTTCTGCACAGGATATTTTTATCTTCTGTAATATATATTTATTTTGGAGCCATTTATTTCTATCAGTGTAGATTCATGGATACTTATTTTATCCTTTGGGTTAAATTCTAATGATATTTTATTAACTTGATCAGTATGTCCCAACTTTGGCTGTGCCACACTCAGTTGGCTCTTGTATCCCTTTTACATACCTACAACAAATTTGTTTTTGTTTTTGTTTTTGTTTTTTAGCATTTTCTTACTTCTGATGCTACATGTTCCAGGATCATCTTTTACATTTATTTTTCTTTCTTTCTTTATCATTATTATTATTATTATTTTTATTTTTAGAGATGGGGTTTCAGCATGTTGGTCAGGCTGGTCTTGAACTCCTTACCATGTGATCCGCCCACCTTGGCCTTGCAAAGCACTGGGATTACAGGCATGAGCCACCATGCCAAGTCGTCTTTTACATTTCTTGCTCAATCTTAGAATCAGTCATTTTTCTGTAGCGCTCTGGTTTCTTTTATTGGTTAATAATATTACAGATCAACATCAGAGCCCTATAGACCTGATGGTTTGTTATTTGCAGGTTATTAAATATTATGGTAGCTGGTGTCTTACAAGAAATTGGTTATTTCATTTATATTATTTATATCATCAAATCTGTCGACATCGAATTGTTCACAGTGTTTCTTATAATTTTAATGTCTATGGGAATCCCAGTGATGACCCCTCTTCCTTTCTCATATTCCTAATTTTTGTCTGTTCTCTTATTTCTTACTTAATGCATTATATGATTTGGATCTGTGTCCCCACCAAATCTCATGTTGAATTGTAATCCCCAGTGTTGCAGGTGGGACTTGTTAAGGGGTAATTGGATCATGGGAGTGCATCCTTCATAAATGATTTAGCACCAGCCCCTTGGTCCTGTTCTCATGAAAGATTTATCATGAGATTTTGTTGTTTAAAAATGTGTGGATCTGCCCTCCCTACCCGCCCCCCCCACCTTTTCTCCTGTTTCATCCATGTGAAGTACCACCTTCCTTTGCCTTCTGCCATGATTATAAATAACTTTCCTGAGGCTTCCCCAGAACCTAAGCAGATGCCAGCATCATGCTTTCTGTACAGCCTGAAGAACCATAAGCCAATTAAACTGCTTTTGTAATAAATTACTAGTCTCAAGCATTTCTTTATAGCAGTGAGAGACTTCCCTGATAAAACCCAGCTAAAGGTTTATAAATTATATTGATTTTACCATATAACTGGATTTGATTTCACTAATTTTTTCTACCGTTTTCCTCTATAATTTTACTGATTCTGCTCTAGTTATTATTTTCTCCCTAACTTAATGAATTTGGGAAAGTTGTAGAGCCTTTCTTTACTTTTCACTGTCATTAGTTCATGTGAAAATTCTTTAAATGGAAATGAGGCCATAACCACGGGGGTGGGGGGAAAGCTATGAATATATTAAAAACAAGCCATTGTAGCAGTACTAAATTGTGTATTTTTTTTTTTTACAAAAACACAAACCAAATATCCTTACTAAAGTCTCCATTTGGGAAACCAAATATCCTTACTAAGTCTCCATTTGGGAGAGAGATCCCCAAGTGATCAATCTGGAAGCATAATGAAGTCCACTTCAGTTCAGCAGGTTTAGCAGGTTGTCTCTGTTATTTATTTTGAGCCTAGACAATGGTGATGGTTTTCAGCCATGCTGATTTTCAAATACCTCACCTGAAACAAGCCAGTAAGACGCTATGGTGACTGTGGCTATTGCACTCATTCCAAGCTTTGGGTTAGACGTTATCCAAAGGAATGCCAGCAAAGTCTGCAGCAGTCAGTCTTCTGGATTTTTGTTTGTTTGCCTTTTTCCACAAAAGAGGTTTCAGGAGTTTCTTAGAGTGAAGTATTTGCATGTGGCATAATCTTGGAGGCATTTATCCAAAACAGAAAACAGTTTTCCACAGAGGCAAAGTGTATGGTAAATAAAAGGCATTAACTGAGGAATAAACTAGTTCAGATGTATATAGGTCACTTCTTAAGTGACCTATGTTATGTCCTGATTTGGTTTGGCTCTGGTTCCCCACTCAAATCTGATCTTGAATTTTATTCCCACAATCTCCATGTGTTGAGGGAGGGATCAGGTAGAAGGTGATTGGATCATGGGGAAGGTTTCCCCCATGCCATTCTTGTGATAGTGAGTGAGTTCTCATGAGAGCTGATGGTTTTATAAGGGGCTCTTCCCCCTTTGCTTCCTACACATGTTCTCTCACCTGCTGCCATTTAAGCCATGCTTGCTTTCCCTTCTGCCATGATTGTAAGTTTCCTGAGGCTTCCCAAGCCATGCAAAACTGTGAGTCAATTAAACCTCTTTTGTTTATAAATTACCAAGTCTTGTGTAGTATCTTTATAGCAGTGTGAGAATGGACTAATACATTTACCTTCCCATATTTGGAGATTTTCTCACCTGCAAAACATGAGTCCAGGACTGTGTTATGTGAGATCGCTTCTTACATTGATTTAAAATCATGGAACAAGAGAATTGTGGAGGGATGACAGAATATTCTGTAGTTAAACATGTTATCAGGTGGCACTGATATTTCAGAGCCTTCGAGTTTTCTGAGTAACATGCTTTGGTGTCCCTTAGCAGACAAACAAGCAAATAAACAAAGACAAGATCTGCACAGAAAAATTTAGTGGTATTGCTTGAAATGACATATTTAAATGAAATTAAGAGTTGCTATGCAGACATGGAGACAAACCTAGGTGATTTACATTTGGAATTTCAGTCATTTCTCTTAACATTTGTATTTAATGGCCATTATTATTTCTGTTTTACAGATTCGAACACTAAGTTTAAAGACTATTATTTGCAAGCAACTTAATTGCTTTATGACAGAACTGGGATTAAAATTCAAGTTTGACAATTTCAAAATCCTTCTTTAAATTAGCTCAGTCTAACCTTTCCACAATGTACACATATTTCAAAACATTATGTTATGCATGATAAACCCATACAATTTTTACTTGCCAATTGTACATAAATAATTGATTAATTAAACAAACCAAACCCCCCCCCCCACACACACACACCTTCTTTGGAACTATAAGTATGAAAAATACTGAAGTTTCCACCTGAATAATTTAAAATTTCAATTTAAATATAATTGAAACCAATTTTAATTTGGGGATCAAACAGAACTCCTATTAAATAAATTGCACATCCTAAAGGACACTTACACTGTACTAGCCTTTTTCATCTTCTAGCTGGGGATATATGGTAGTGTTTGGTGGTGGGAAGTAGGGGTAAGGAATATAATTGAGGAATTAAGGAAATAATTCAAAAACCTTTAGAATGTAAGTGCAAATGTTATACCAGAAAGTAGAATTTCACATTGGTTCAGTGCATGAAAAGTCAAGGCAACTGATGGACAGTCTATTTCTTAGACAATGTAAATTTCTAAAAATTGATCAATCAGATCTATTTATTTTAGGAATTGGATTCATATGCAACACAAGTTCATACCACAGACCTTGGATAAGTTCAGCTAAAGTGACACAGCTGTTTAATCAAAAGGTAAGATCACTCCATAACAACTTCTTAAATTGATCTGGAATTTGATTGCTATATAGGTACAGTTGTCATATTAGCCAGACACAACCTTTTGTCTTCACATGTGCTTCTGTAGCATAAGTAATGGAAGTATATATATATATAATCACCTTTAACATTACTGCTAGATATTGTACGAATTTTTAAGAATAATTTCATTTTAACTTAAATTAAAAGCTGTTTGACTTTGATTAACTGTACTTACTCCAAGTTGTTAAACAATGTGCTTGACATTTGCTTGAGAGTTTTGAGAAGGCACCTATTTTTGCTGTGTTTGCTGGCAGTTCAGTCTTTCTGTATATTATACACATGCATTTAACAACTGTAAAGGAGATATCACAAATTTGTGATGTGTAACTAGAACATAAATTATTTTCATTGCAAGCTATAACTGCAACAACAAAAGAGTTTTATGGTACATTTTTGTCACTAATATGAATGTTAAAGAGTTGAGAATTTATGTGTTAGGAGGTACCTTCAACCAGATTATGAAACAATAGATTCTAAGAGCTCTGAAGGAGCTATTAGATTGTATAAAAAATGCATTCTAAAAAGTCCCTAAACATGTATTTATATAATTGGAGCTATTATGGTTTATTGTATCAGGTACTCATGTACTAAATAAGAAAGAATCAACAGCTTAAAACACTTTCATTAAAAGGGCTGGTAGTTACACACAAGCAACCCAATCTTGAGCCTTTGAAAAGGTTAAGACAAACAGTTTAAATGTTCTTGTGAAATTTTCTGTAATATCTCTAAACATAATTTCTACTTGGGAATAAAAATACAGTGTATATTTATAATAATGATCAAATAATGATTATAAAATTATTATAGAATGAAAATCATATTCCATACATTGTGTCAAGTGATTTTAAAATGAAAAGATGAAAGTAGGGGAAAAAAGCCTGATGTTTTGTAGATGCTACCAGAAGCATCGCCAACATTTCAAACTTACATACTAGAAAGTAAACCTTCACTGAGCACCCATTAGACTCTACTCTTTTATTAAATTATGTGTACAAGCATTCATTTACTTTAATCGTATTGAGATTTTATTTTTTTTATATTCGTGGGTATGTAATAGGTGTATATATATGGGTTATATGAGATAATTTGATACCGGCATGCAATGTCTAATAATCATATCAGGATAAATGGGGTATCCATCACCACAAGCATTTATCCTTTGTGTTACAGACAACCCAGTTACACTCTTTTAGTTATTTTTAAATGTAGAGCTAAATTATTTTTGACTATAGTCACCCTGTTATGCTAGGAAATACTAGGTCTTATTCTATCCCAATTATATAATAAATGACAAGAGGTCAGGAATTACGGTTGTTATACTAGTGTCTTGTGCAGACTCCACAAAAATAAGCATTTGTGGAATTCAGGCTGTATTCCTGTTTATAAATACAGCATACTTAGTTTAACAAAATTCAAATTACATTTTATGATAACATGTAAAGCAATAAAAATCCATGCACTGTAGAAAAATATTATTGTTCTACATCTAGTAAGATAGTTAAATAGAAAAATAATTAATACAAGATACCATAATGAATAATAATGTCAATTAAGCACTGCAGTAATATAAAACAGAATAATAAAATTGAAAAAAAAAATTTATTATTTTTGCTAGTATTTCATTCTTCAGAAAAAGAGAGTCAATACCAAACCTGCATAATATCTTCTGAATAATAATTCAGATAATGGTTTTGATTTTATTTTGTGTCTATATTCCATTAATTAAAATTTTACTTGGCCAGGTGTGGTGGCTCATGCCTATAATCCTAGTACTTTGGACAGCCAAGGCAGGTGAATCACCTGAGGTTGAGTTGGAGACCAGCTGGGCCAACAAGGTGAAACCCCGTCTCTACTAAAAATACAAAAAATTAGCTGGGCTGGTGCCTGTAATCCTAGATACTCAAGAGGCTGAGGCAAGAAGAATTGCTTGAACCTGGGTGGCAGAGGTTGCAGTGGGCCAAGATCATACCATTGCGTCCCAGCTTTGGCAACAAGAGCAAAACTCTGTCTCAAAAACAAAAACAAAAACACAAAAAAATTACTCAATGAGAAAAGCATAAGTATTAGCAGAAAATACTTTGAAATTTTCCAGAATGTAAACCTTCTATTTCAAATTCACAACATGAAGTTATATATTAGAAGGGGTCTTGGTGGGTAGTGGGGATTGAGGTTACATAAAATCTGATTTAAATAGTTTAATATATTCTTTTTTATAGTTATTTAGATATCACCTACATTTGGAAGCAGTTATGCAGTAAATTCTGCCTTATTTCTCATAGTAGTAGACAGAGATGAGAAATAACAATAATGTTTTAAAATACCTAAATGCCACCTTTTAAAAAAAAGTAAATAGAATTTTTACTTGTGAACTTGTTGCTGACATTTTAAACAAGTTTTTCTGTTCACATATTGTTTTCATTAAAACATTTGCACTTTGTGAAATAAAATTTGATACACCAGAAACGTGTTCCACCATATCTCTTGTATCTCTTCAGAGCTTCATGTGATAAAACATTCATAGTATAGGGTTTTTGTTGCTGTTGTTGTTTTTTTAAAGTAAAGACAGGGTTTCACCATGTTGGTCATGCTGGTCTTGAACTCCTGATCTCAGGTCATCTGCCCATCTCTGCCTCCCAAAGCGCTTGAATTATAGGCATGAGCCACCGTGCCCAGCCAACTCTTCTTTGTCACCTTCTTTTACAATTACTGCAAAGAAGGGGCACATATTTGGGACACAAAAACCAAAGAGAAGAAGAAGTCATTTTGCTTTTGCTGTTGTTGGTGATGATGATTTTAAAGATGGCAAATAAATGCACTGTGATATTTTATCTTTTAAAATAGTCCATCCATGGCATTCCCATACAATCTTTCCATATTTAAAATATTAAGTTGAACATAATGCCCGTTCAAAAATATGATCTTGGCAAACATCAGGCACTTAAATGCAAAAACAAATTTCTTACATGTTGAAAGTGCTGACTCTGAACAACTTGAATATAGCCAGCACATCTTTGAAGTTTGGAATCTGACATGGGCAAAGCAGATTACCAGGATGAAATTACATGTGGCTGTAGCTAAACTATTGTTAGTAGGCACTTCCATGTTAATAATGTTACTAAATAAATATGAAAACACATTACATTTCTCCACCAAGGTTATTTTCTAGAAAAATTATGTTCATCACAATTTAAGAAAGTAACGATGAATGTTAGGTTTAAATATAGTGTCATGAGTATAAAATGTAGAGACCAACTTCTCTTAGCACATGGCCAAACTTTTTTAAAAATGTGTCTATGAAATTGTCTATGAAAAGAAATGTTGAGACTCCATGTTTGGGTCCCCTTCTGCGAACACTCCCTTTATGGAAGCAGTCTTTCTCTCCCTTGGATTTCCCCTCTGGAGTCCCCTTCCACACTCTCTCATGGAAGCCTGTCTTCCCCTCCTAAACTCCAACTCTCTTTCTGTTCCCTTCCACTCAGTGTGGAAGCTGTTTTCCTCTCCTGGATTCCATCTTTCTGGATTCTCTCAGTGTGAGAGTCAGCTGTTTCTTTCTCTCTTCTTCTCCTGTTTCTCTCTCTCTTTAAATAAATCACTTTCTACAGAAAGAAAGAAAGAAAGAAAGAAAAATTTTTACTAGAGAAAAGTCAGAGTTAGCACTACTAAATATATACTTGAATTATTTCACATATGAAATTTACATGCAGTCTGTGTGCAGTGGCTCATGCCTGTAATCTCAGCACTTTGGGAAGCCAAGGTGGGTGGCTCACTTGAGGTCAGGCCAACAGTGGTGAAATCCTGTCTCTACTAAAAATATGAAAAAATTAGCCAGGTTTGGTGGTGTACACCTGTAGTCCCAGCTAATCAGGGGCTGAGGCAGGAGAATCACTTCAACTTGGAAGGCAGAGAGTGCAGTGAGCTGAGGTTGCACCACTGCACTCCAGCCTGGGTAACAGAGTGAGTCTCTCTCCAAACAAAAAAGAAGGAAAGAAATTCACATGGAATTAATGTTTATTTAGTATTTATGCCTCCTGTGGTAGAAGTTGTATATACTATCATAATGATAGGCCAGTATTTCAAATGCACTAAGAGCTGACACATGATCTGCTGGTTGAAACAAAATGGCATAACTGAGACATGATCATGAAAGAGCTTAGCTAATTCCATGGGAACTTCTAATTCTTACATGACAAAGAGATATGCTTATATGAAGAGAGCTGCTTCTTAGAAGTTTAGTAGAGGGTACTAGATGAAGTGATTTTTGTATGCACCGTGTTGAGTACCTTTTGTGTAGGAGTGTTGATTTTTCATTTGAAGAGGTATTGAGGATGTGAAAGGAAACTAGTATCATTACAATGTGATGAGTGCAATGAGTGAGGTAGGCTTCAAGTGTACTGGGATCTCCAGACATGAGAAAGGCAGGATCTAACTATGGGAGACATGTGGGAACCCAGGGTAAACTAGATTTTTCATCCAGTTGTTCGTTTCATATTTGAATTTTAAAAGGAATGGAGTTCCTTGGTACCTGGCAAAAGGAGTAAAGACCGACACTTTTGTATTGTTTGTATTTTTGCTTTTTTGAGACAGAGTCTCTTTCTGTCACCCAGGATGGAGTGCAGTGGCGCAATCTCGGCTCACCAAAACCTCCGTCTCCTGGAGCTGGGATTATAGGGTGCGCCACCATGCCCAGCTAACTTTTTTGTATTTTTCGTAGAGATGGTGTTTCACCATGTTTCCTAGGCTGGTCTTGAACTCCTAAAAATCCATGATGATTTTACTTTTATTGTTCTTCTAGTAATGGTAGTAGATCACTGATAAATATCCCTCTTTTGATTTGTCATTTTTAAACCAGGTATATGAATTATCTACAGTAAAAACAGAATTATTTATATACATGACAACAAAGAATATATGTACATATGGTTAAACTGTATATA